CATAAATTTGAAAAAAACCATTTATGTACCCTTCACAAGCTATGAATCTAACTTACCCCCATTCACGAAAATAGAGTTTGAACATGGAGATGAGATGATATTGATTAAATCAGATAAGAAAGTTAAGTTTCTAGGAATATATCTTGATTGCCACCTAAAATGGAACGATCAAATTGAAAATGTCATAAAAAAAGCAAGATACTGCTTACCCAAATTTCGATATTTAAAAAAATTTTTTGATATTAAACATTTGAAAATAATGTACTATGCCTTAATACAAACTCATTTGATTTATGGTATCATAGTATGGGGTGGAGCCACGAATTTATATATGAGACACTTGGAAATCACACAAAAATGGATTTTAAAGGTGATCACTGGAAACGGTTACAGATATTCTAGTGATCAGCTTTTTAAAGATGCTGAAGTACTAGATATTCATCAGTTATTTGTTCTGTATCTGGCATTATACCAACACAGAAATGCATATAACACCAAAAACATTGAACATAGTTATCCGACTAGATACAAAGAATGTTCCCTAAGTATACCCCGTATGCTGAAAACAATAGGACAGAGATGTCATTTATATCTTGCACCAAAAATTTATAATATTTTGCCATACTCATTTAAAATACTCAACTCGGTATCTCTATTCAAGTCTAAAGTACGGAAATGGTTAATGAGTAAACCGCGCAATGCAATCCATAGTCTTATTGACCTGAAAAATAACTAACATTGCATTATTTACAATATTAGGACACAATTAAACGTAATATTATTCTTCTTATTTTTTTTTTCAATAATTATTAAACCTTATATTAACATATTTCATTAACATATTAACATATTTCTACATCATTTATTCATACATATTTATATTTATTTAAATTACATAGGTAGGTACAGCATCAATCCATCGATTTTGAAACGATTATGGGAAATCAAAGTTGAGCAGATATGTATACCCACGCACAGGATTTCCTTTGTGGGTTTCTTGAATTTGTTCAAAATAAATTAGGATCATTGTAACCAATGTATCGTATCAATGTGTTTTACATATTATTCGTGCCTGTAACAGTTTATGTTATGTCTTTGCCTGAATAAATTCATTATTATTATTATTATTATTAAATCATGCTCGAGACGCCACTGGATAAATTGAATCACGTTCGGGCTAAATTAGCTCCTTAATGTTATGAATACCAAGGATATTTAGAATATTCACGAATGACTTTTTTTTCATTTTTATTTTAACACCCTGTATCTTGAGAACGAAGGATTTGCGGACCCATGTTTATATGAACATTTCGTCTTAAAATTACCTAAAGAATCGCCTGTTAAATTTATAGTACATACTTGATTAACACCTTGTATAATAAGAATAGCTGATGGAGAAAACAAGAACATGAATAACAGGAAAAGCACGAAATCTAACCTCGTCAAGTTTTCAAAACATAATGATAAGGTTTAAGTTGCAGTGGGTGTTTTTTTTTTCAAAAGATAACTTGTAACCTAACTTGCTGGTAACGTTTAACGTGTTACGAGTCAATTCTGAGATAAAATTCTGGCTTCTATGAAGCAGACCCTGAAAGTGCAGCTGACCAGCTATCAATTTTTGACAAACACAGTACCGTGTTCAATTGAGCAAAAAACAAACCCCTTATAATTGAATGTGTTGCTCTACACCTAGGTAGAAATAACCCCTTGAGGAGATACTCCATTGAAAACAATCATTTGAACCGGGCCACTCAGTATGAAGACCCAATTATTCACGCATTCTGGATTTTTTCCTAATCTGCGACACGTTTTCATGTGAAAGATACAAAAGCCATCGAACGTGCGCAATATCTCGTTTTTAGGTACCCTGATTTCCTGAAAAGAATCCAGTGCCATGAATAGACTGTATTTCGAAGATACTCACCAAAAGAATCCTCAAGCATGAATAAAAGGGCGCAGTCGCGTAGTGGAGCTCAATTTATTTTCAAGTAAATGTTTATTTATAATGTATCTCAATACTTTCTATGGTGTACAACAGAAAAATATAATTGAGCTACTGAGAAAAAATGATCAACTTTCTAAACTATATACTTTATTGTATAGGTACTATCAAGTGAAGATATGAAAATAAAGTTTTATTTGATTGAGTACGTTATGAGAGATTTTCATCAAGATCCAGTTCCATTACAATTTTGAGTACGTAATCACAGAACTGAGGATAAAATCTCATTTGGCAGTAATGCCCTACCTACCCTTCATAAAAGACTTGTTAGGGGAGATCTCATAATTACTTACAGAATCTAATATAATCTAAATGATATATTACTAGTCTACAAGTCACTAATGGAATAGTTACTTTGTTGGTAGCTTCAACAATGTAATAAAATGTTTCCAATATACGCAAAATTCTATCCTGAAGATAATATTGAATAAAGACCATCTATTCTCTACGCAGCAAATCTACATAAATACAAAAGTTTTTAATATTCGTAACTTATATAACCATTAGTGTCTTCTATGGACGTTTAAAGAGGCCGAAACTTTGCCTGATAAACCTGGAATTACTAGAAACACGTTAACCAAAATACTGGACACACAACTTTTCAAGAAGACTCATCCGCAAAGATACATTTTCTACTATGGACCAATGTTCTACAATTGACTACCACTTCATATGAGGGAAATATCCAACATAAAAAAGTACAAAATCAAAGAATATATATTCTAAGTAACCCCGAATTATTTTGCTTACAATAACCGTTACTCTGTATCTTTCTTTTTTCCTGCATCTGGCTGCGGAGGGGTTGGAAAGATCTAACCCCATACACAAGTCAATAAAAAATATTCTCGGACAGTCAAGCGACAGTGGGAGCTCTTGACTCCTACCAAGCAACGTCTAAGTTGGTAGCAAATTGCCAAAAACGACTCTCCTCAATAGGAAGACTCAACAGATTATCTCTGGTCTGGATTCCTGACCATACTGGCCTGGAAGGCAATGGGGCTGCTGACTCCCTTGCAAAGGAGGGTGCTGCAAGCAGCTTCATCGGACCAGAAGCTGTCATTGGCATCGCTTTAGGCTTTGCCAATGGGATTAATTACGGGTCTGACCCTCTGGACGATGCGTTAATGGCCAAGGTACGATTGCGCAGGACTGGTGTAAACTTCGAAGTCGGAGTGGGTCAATTGAGGCTGGGCCTATGGCGAGAGACGATTACTGCGCAACCTCTGCTGCAGGCAAACAGTGATGCAATTGAACCCAGGTTTGTGTTTAATAAACCCTACAAACAGCCTACAACAGAACACAGAGTCAGATGCTACAAATGCAATACGCATTTATTCAGACGGCTCAAAAACCAAAGAATGCTCGGGATATGGAGTGTACTCCAGATCACTAAGCCTAAGGATTAAGTATGGAATGGGAAAAAATACCAGCATGGTTCAAACAGAACTGGCTGGTATCTCAATCGCCACAAAAAAAAAATAACCAGGAAAGGAATTTCTGGCAAAAACATAACATCTACACTGACAGCAGACAAGCCCTATTAGTCTTGAACAGACAACGTGTAACCTCAGGGCTAGTACTAGAATGTCACCAAGATTTAGCCAAAGCCTCGGTAGATAACAACATTATCCTGAAATGGGTTAAAGGGCACGACAGGAGTAAAGGTAATTACATTGTCGACTCTGTAGCCAAGGAAGCGGCTGGACTATAAATTTTAGGACCCAGTGGCACCTACGGCCTGATGACTTCGACAATTGCGGAACTAGCCAAATGTTACACACATGCTCATTCCCAACAGAGATGGAATGGAATCAAAGGATGCAATCTTGCCAGTATCACCTTGGGCGACCCTGAGAAGCTGGCACCGAAGAAATATCCGGCGATGACCAGAAAAAATCTACACTTAACAATAGGATTTCTGACTGGCCACTGTCAACTTAGGAAACGCCTCTTTAATATGGGGCTAGTAGACACACCTCTATGCAGAATGTGTGAACAGGAAGATGAGACAGTCAGGCATGTCCTATGCGAGTGCCCGGAGTTATCGTCAATAAGAGAGTGTGTGTTCGGCGAGACTTGGCCTACACCTGCTGATATAAAGGAGATTTCACTTAGTGACCTGTCTGCCTTCCTGGAAAGGACAGGATGGACGATGACCTAGGAGGACAACTCCTCGGGAGGATGTACAATGGGTCACATGTGGCATAAGTTATGTGGGCTTATACTCACCCTCCCTACTCTACAGATACAGAAACAGGCTTTGCCAAACATTTATTGAACACCTAGATGGCCTGTGCCGCTTGGAACCGAAACAGGTTCCCAGAATTCCCAGAATTCGGCAGACCACTCACTGAAAGACCATTCACCATACAAATTAATCGTCTTCGTTAAGTAACTGGGTTTATTTGGTCGAGTGTGAAGGGGTGTGAGCCACAATAAACCCTTGCGGGTTGCGGTGGAGGGTCGAATAGACTCACTCACTTTGGACCTAACCTAACCTAACCTACTGCATGTGGCTATACTCAATGTCACTTATATAAATAATACTATTGAATAAATTGAATTGAAATTTCAGAGCCAATAACAGTATTACTTCGTTTAACAGGGTCTAATCTACATGGAATCGTCTTTCTAAATAAGTGAAGTCCAGTACCTTTCACCAATTTTATTTAAAAAGTATCAGAACGAATTCTGGAAAACCTGGAGTAGGGAATTGAGAAGGGAATTATCATTTATAGACACCGATGAAAAAAATTGTTGTAATTTTAAGTTTTTTCTTTCTTTCATTCGGTTTATTTAACAAGAATTACTAATTTCATTCAACGTTTTCAATCTCTCCTCAATTTGAGCTAAGATCGACGTATTGCTATGAAGTTGTCTCCCTTATTGATATGTATACATATTAATCATACTAAAGTATATATTCAAGTTATGTTAATTATCCTTGACAAGTCCATTTCCCAATCTTTCTTCATACAGAATCAAACGTAGTACTCACCTGAGCTCATAAAATAAGGTATCCTAAATCTACCGGAAAGCACCCTATCACGAAGGGCTTGCAAGGAACATCCGTCGAAGGGTAGAGCGCCGCATACGAGTACATAGAGAACGACGCCCAAACTCTGAAAAAAAAAGCAATTAAGGGATTTGTCTTTCAATTGGGGCCGATATCCCGATAATTTATTATGGGTTCTCAACGAGATACAATAGCAGAACATTCTGGGAATTTTCGTCATCTAAAATCACACTGTTATGAATTATCCATTGAAAAAAATAACGCCGGACGCCACTGGTCTTCGTCAATTGACTGTGACTTGGCCAAGGTCGCACTCAATTCGATTCGCGGTTCCTGATCGTTCTAGATGTTGCGTCGCTGCAACAGACTTCCAGAGACTTCCGTATCGGCTTCCAGAGACTTCCATTACGATATAAGAACTCTAGTAATAGGCAGATGGGGCAAATCTAGTTGAAAGTGCGGTACGAAGTGGTCTAATAAGGCGATAGACATTCGAGTATTAGCCTGAAGTTCACTTAAAGCTTTTCTGTTATATTGGCAGTGTAGTGAAATAAAGTTCAGTTTGAATGTACAGTGTAGCCAATTATTGTCGAGCCCACGGGAAAACGTAACAGATCGTTAAAATGCAAAATCAATTTTTCATAACAAAATATATTATAACCATTCAAAGGAAACGTATCTAATGACGATACGTACTTATCGGAACAATTTCATGATAACCAAGCTGTACCCCAAGGTTCGATATTAGGCCCGATAGTATTCAACCTGTATACTTCCCAATTCAACAACCACTAGAAATAAGTCACTTCATTTTAGATTACATCTAATGCATAAGTTAGTTTTCACGAACGACAAGAAGAAAGAAGAAAACTAGGTTATGGGGAAACCGAAAAAACGACTCACCCATATGTCGATTTCAGGTCCAACATACTTTTTTCCCTCGAACACTTCAGGGGCGGCGTAAGGAGGAGAACCACACCAAGTGGACAATTGACCGCCTAACGTGTAGTAATTGGAAAATCCGAAATCGGCTATCTTAATGTTATTGTTCGAGTCTAGAAGAAGATTTTCAGCCTGAAACAAAAAAAATGATAATCAGTTACGGCTCCGCAATGGACATAATGTATATCATTCATCGTTTATTTTTAAAGTGAATGTACGAGTACTCGAAAGTTATGTTTGTTTATTCATTTTTTATAGTCCAAAATTCATTATTTTTTAATCCAACCTGCATGTTCCATACACCATTTTGAAATTAAGAAAGCTCTTCCGACGATTCACAAGCTACATATTATAATTTCCTAACCCCAGTGAACCAAGAAAGGGAGTTTTTTTATAAACAGGTTCTTGAATGGAATATATTACAGATTACACAGAAAGTTCTCCTTCTCATTAGGACAAAAAACCAATTAAAATTACAAATTTCGAAAATGAGCAGACAAATGTTGATGGTAAATTATTTTCCCTAATGGAATATGGAATGATATATTATTTCCTGGATAACACTTTTATCAAACAGCAACAGTAAAACCATTTCAAAATATATTTCAACTTATTAAATATCAAAATTAAGAATTGAAAAAATTCAGGCACCTACTGAATAACTAAACGAACAGTAATTCGCGGTCAAAAGTTTTTTATCGTGACGTTCCAGTTTATTATGCATTAGTTAATTAATCATTTTTTTCTACTTACATTCCAAGTGTGATAATTGTTACTAATTGTTAAAAATTGGAACTATTTTTGAAACTTCTAAGAATAGATTCTCGCTGGAAAAATGAAAAATTTTTCAATTTGTTATCAACAATTTACTCGTGTTAAGAATTAATAGTTTTTAATATCATTATTGTTCTGTTTATTTCATGATAATAAGCTACATGAAATAATAAAAAAAAATCTGATATTGGTTAAACAATTGTTATACACATAATTTTTGACAAGAATTATGATTTTAAAAAAATGTTTCTTGAAAAATGTTATTGATTGAAAACGGATCTTTTGATTAACAACTTATTAAACTACTTATAATTGATATTAAGGAAACATTTTTTTAAAATCATAATCTATCTTGCTCTTTGATAACTAAATAATGTTTTGAACAATTATATTTTTCATCTTTCTCCACAATATAACGAAAGCAACCATGTATTATTTCTTGAGAAAAAAATTATTTATATTTTATATCGAATTTTATAAATTATGTTCTTTACTTCATCATTTTCATCTGGTTTTTATGTTTGAACTTATTATAACTAATTGAGGTACGATGAAAAAACTCGTGACTTATTTATTCTTTATTGATTAATGAACAAATTTAGCCCAGAATTCAAAATCTTACCAAATTATTTATTCCATAAATTTGTTTATAAAAAAATCTTGATTTAATTTCAATTTTTGTACATCCTTCTGAGAAGTTGTCCTCCTAGGTCATCGTCCATCCTGTCCTTTCTAGGAAGGTGGACAGGTCACTAGGAACGTCTCCTTTATATCGGCAGGTGTAGGCCAAGAACACACACTCTCTTATTGACGATAACTCCGAACATTCGCATAAGACTGGCCTAGCAGTTTCATCTTCCTGTTCACAGTTAGAAATCCCACTTTTAAGCGTAGGGTTTTCCTGGTCATCGCTAGATATTTCTTCGGCGCCAGCTTTCCAGGGTCGCCCAGGGTAATCCTGACAAGACTGCATCCTTTGATTCCATCTCTTGAGGGATTGAGCATGGGTGTGACGTTTGGCTAATTCCGCAATTGTCGAAATCATTAGGCCGTAGGTGGCCTCAGGTCCTAAAATTTTTAGTCCAGCAATTTCCTTGGTTAAATAGTCGGCAATGCGATTACCTTTACTTTTGTCGTGCCCTTTAGCCCACCTCAGGATAATGTTATTAGCTACCGAGGCTTTGGCTAAATCATGGTGGCATTCTAGTACTAGCCCTGAGATGACACGTTGTCTGTTCAAGGCTAGTAGGGCTTGTCTACTATCAGTGCAAATTTTTATGTTTTTGCTTAATTAGAGGTTTAAACCAGCCGTGCGCAATCGTAACACGGCCAATAACGCAACCTCCTTTGTATACGTCCAGAGGGGCCAGACCAGTAATTATTTTCATTGCCGCGGTTGCTCCTGTGATGTTTAAACAAGCCAATTGCTGTATTTGATATAATTTTTAGAAGGCCGTTGCTTGTAGAACTTTCGGCCCCTCTGGGGAAATTATAAATATTGTTCCAACATTTCTTTCTCTCCAAAAATTAATTCTGTTGTCCGCCAGAGGTTAATGTTACAGTTACTACATATAATTGGTGACCAATTAATTATAAGATATGTTAGATGTTTCGTGGGAAATTGAATAATTCAATTTTAAACTTCTATAGATATGTTTATCATCTGGGGTACAAATCAACATTGGCCTATCAAAACTTCCGCCACCCGAAATTCACTGGCCTGAAAATCCAAACTTCAGACTCCCACAATTCACGTGACGTCATGGCGTCAATCGATCGGACGCAACCACATTGTCGTCATTGTGAAAATACCCTTTGATAGCTCGTGAAAAGGTCCCTCCTCAAAAATCTCAAGTGCTTTTTATAAAGTAATCTATTAGGGGCAAAAAGAAGGTTGAAACCACTCTTTAATACGAGTATAGCGTCTCGAAGAGGCGTGTTAAGTGGATGCTTTGCGAGTCTGTATTTATTGCGGTAGACGAAACATGATCGATAAAGGATCATCAATTTGTTTCCTGAGAAACTGTGTAAAGCAATTTTTTTGGAGTGAACGATTTTTTGTGACTGTTCCCAAAACATTTTTCTTTCTCTAAATCACTGAATAATATAGAGAGTGTAACTGAATAAGTGTTAAACATTTGTTTCCTGAGAAACTGTGTAAAGCAATTTTTTTGGAGTGAACGATTTTTTGTGACTGTTCCCAAAACATTTTTCTTTCTCTAAATCACTGAATAATATAGAGAGTGTAACTGAATAAGTGTTAAACATTTAAGGAGGTGATTCCTCATCGAAAAAAAGATAGGATCTTTCATATAAAGAAACTTCATTAGAGCAACCCTCGTTAAGATACAGATGGTAAGGGTATAACATTTAGCTGGAAAGCAATCTGTCTAGTACTGTTAGTAGGTTGTTCTTCAATCAAATTAAGTACTGCTTCCTCAAGCTGTGGTGTTCGTACTTCTCGATGGCGACCACAATCCTGCGTTCTTTTGTCGAATGAACCATATTCTCGTAATCGTTGATGAAGTCGAGCAAATATTCTATGTGAAGGATGCTGCCGTTGAGGATACATTTCAGCATATCTTCTAGAAGCTTCTAACCCATTCCCCTGCGACAGACCGTAAATGTAATGCATACTAGCCATTTCCTCATTTGTGTATGCCATTTTGATAACAAGTGAATTATTAAAGTAACAAATTAAGAACAGAACAACAACACACAATTAGTATCAATTCAATTTTGAAAATTCACAAACTGACAGCGTCATACCAATTTAATTGTCACTATCGCTAATAGCGACCTACTAGATAGATTAGTTTCGTATTTTCGCATTTATGACGCGATGTATCTCTGTAGTTGTTCCTAAAATAATTTTTTACTGCGAACTGGTTCATTTTGGACAAATAAATCAAGAGACACTTTTTGTTTAGAATGAAACAGGCTATCGGAAATAAATTTTTAAATGGTAAACAAATAATAAGATAAAAAGTTACATTGGAAATAAATTTTAGGGGTTGCGTTTTTCACCCCTTACAACCATGGGGTAAACCAAATAAATTTCTGGCTAAGTGTCTTTTTGGTAGTACAAGACGTCAGGTTAATTTCAATATTGCAACTCCAATGAAATTTCTTTATATGAAAAATCCTATCCTTGTTTTCGATGAGGAATCACCTCCTTAAATATCTTACACTTATTTAGTTACACCCTGTATTTCACGAGTAGTAATTTTTTTTACTTTATTTGCTGATGATACCACAATTTTATGACATGCTCCTGACAATCATACGTTATATGAAGTTATTGAGAATGACATCACGAAAGTGAAAGACTCAAATCTCTTGAATTTATCAAAAAGAAAAGTAGTGTCCTATCGTTGCCAGATTTCAGCAGTACATCTAAATAATATTCAAATTGACAACGTACCAACTTCTTATTTCCTTGGCTGGTTCATTGACAATGATTTAAAATTCAACAAACATGTAGATACTTTGAAATCCAATCTCTCCTCTGGATGTTATACAATATGAGTAACTGCATTTGAGCTCGGATCTGCAGAAGCTAGAATGGTTTATCATTCCCATTTTGAATCCCATCTTCGTTATGGAATTTGCTTTTGGGGTGTGTGTTCTACCACATGCCTTCAATCAGTATTACTAATACAAAAACGTGCAATACGATGCATATGCAAAGCCAAGCCTAGGGACTCTTGTCGGCCTTTTTTTGCCTCTCACAGAGAACTGTGGTCTCCTTATTTATATATGAGACAATCTGTCTTCTCTTCAAAAATAGGGTCTTGTTTAACAACTTGGACGTGCCAAATAATCAAACCAGGCCAAGATTTAGCGTCAAATTACCGCTGCCTTCTTCGACCCTAGTTAAAGATTCCATTATTTACAACGGTCTCAAAATGTTCAATCACCTTACTCAAGCTATAAGAATCATAAATGACCTTAGAGCTCTTAAGAAACAGTTGAAAGACTTGTTTTCTGTGAGACCTTATTATAGCTTAGCAGAGTTCTACGATGAGAATTTTAATTGAGTAGACTAACTGTAATATCTACCGTATTTTATTGATTTGATTCAATTTAATTTAAATTGATTTATTTAATTTTATCGACCACGTTTTTATATTTTGAACGTTTGTATTGTTATTGTTATTTACATGTCTATTTTCAATTCATGTTATCACTTACTTTTAGTGATTTTACTTTTGTGAGTTCATTTATGTTAATTATATTTCGCAAAAGGCTTTGTCAATAAGAATTTATTCTTCAGACAATAAAGTATATTTGAAGGCCACCGGATGCCTGCTTCCACGTAGCCCCGCTGGATAAGGGAATGACAGAATCACTTGTGG